CTGTGGTTAGCCAAGAGGGGCAGAAAAACACAAGCATCGACCCGAGCAGAAGGGGAGAAGGGGATGTGAGACCCAGCTGAAGGAAATGGGAACCCCAGTTCACCTGCTGCTGCACCTGGCCACCACCAGTGGGCTCCCACACACCTTCAGAGCCCTGAAGACCCATTGCTGAGCATGCCTAAGGGTCTTTGTGAGGCCAAGGGCCCGAGTCGCAGTGCATGTGCAGTTGGAGGGGTTGAAAGGAAGGCCACTGGGTTCACCAAAGGGTGGGAGAGAGCAGGATGGATGGGAGATGTTGGGGAGCTGGGGAGGCTGTGGCTGCACTCCTGGTTCCCTCATCGGGTCACTGAAATCTCCCATCCCTGTGTCGCTGCTGCTGCCGCCTGGTGTCTTGCCTCAGCTACCAGTGCCGTTTCCCCTGCCACCGCAAACACCACTGCAGTGTGTGCCAGATGTGGTGGTGAGGAGCGGCTACCCCAGTCACCCCCATGGTCTCACATCTGGACCTAAGCACATGGGGATTGAGTCTGATGGGGGTGGTGGAGCAGGAGGAAATATCCTGAGGCAGGGGTGATGAAGATCCCCAAGTTCCACTCCAAGTGTCAGTTGTGGTATCTGTCCATCTTTTGCCTTGAGGCAGGTCCCTGCCCCTCCCAGTGCACCCCAGGAAACTATGGAAATCCACCCTTGCAGCCAGCGCCTCTCCACTGGCCACTGCCAAAGCCGTCATCCTCCCGTGCGAGCCTGGTCATGGCTGGAAGGGGCTCGGATGTGGCAGGGCTAAGCCCCAAGTCGCACAAAAGCTGCCCGGTGGCTTCCTGTTCCCACAGGACTGAGGACAACTGCCAGAGAAATTTCAGGACTTAGGGCCCTTTCCGCCATACTAGACCCCTGACAGAGTCTCTGCCCTGGGAGCTGGGAGCTGTCCCTCCTTTGGACAAAGGAGGCCCTCCCAGGATGCACTTCTCCCTGTGCCCCGCAGCTGTGCACCTAGAGAGATGGCCATGGAAGGGCCCGCCTCAGCCCTCAGTTGTGCATTTCTCCCAAGAGTAGAGCCTTAGGCAGCAGGAGTGCACAGCTTTCCTGACTCCAGAGTTGAGGGTGTTACCAAAACCAGAGTGGGGCCGCTCTGGGGAGTTTACTCACAGTCTTCTCCAGAATTGATTTTGTTACAAAGTAAAGTATATTTGCAGTAAATAGGAGACCATTAGGAATCATTTCCAGGGTCATGGCATCTGCAACAAACAAAGGGAAGCAAGGACATTTATTGCAGATGGGGGTTGAATATTCACAAGAGAGAGGTGGTTATTTGCTTGCGCTGGCTCAGTTGGAAAGCGAGTTTCCACATACACTGCAGTTTACCTTAACAAGGTAACAAACTCTTCCTGGAGAGATCTTAGCATTAAAAATAAGGCAAAGTTTATAGGCTTTGCTCTGGTGGTGAGGCTTGTTCAGGGTGGTTGGTGATTGCATCTCAACATAACAAAAGGAAAAAAAAACAATTTGGGACAATAGTTAAAATATCCAAGCCCACCTTTGTTTTCCTCGGGGTAACTAGTTGATGACACCTTGACTGCTTTTCTTTTGTTGTGCCATATATACTTTAGGTTTCCTTGTTCGTTTTTTGTGACAAGTGTTCTTGGAGCTTTGATGGGGATTGCAGTGAACCTGTAGATTGCTTTAGGAAGTATGGATATTTTAACTATGTTAATTCTTCCAATTCCAGAGCATGGAATATCAGTCCATTTCTTTGTGTCTTCTTCTATTTCTTTGAACAATATTTTATCATTTTCAGCGCCAAGGCCTTTCCCCTCATTGGTGAGGTTTCTTCCCAGGTGTTTTACTCTTTTTGTTGCAATTGTAAATGGGATTATAGTCGCAATTTCTCTTTCTGCTACTTCCTTGTTATTGTGTAGAAACCCAAGAGATTTCTGCATGTTGATTTGTATCCTGCAACTTTACCATATTAATTAATATGAATTAATTAATTTATTTATTTATTGCAGTAACCTTGGCTTATACCATTATATAAAATTCAGGTGCACATCATTATCTTTGAATTTTGGTGTTTTCATCATGTTTCCCACCCAAAGGCTAATTACAACTCACCACCTTATACATGTGCCTCATCACCCCTTTCACCCTCCTGCCTCACTCCTAACGTCTGGTAACCACCAACTCCATTTCTTTCTCTATGTGTTTGTTGTTATCTTCTATTTATGAATGAGATCATATGGTATTAGACTTTCTCCCTCTGTCTTATTTCACTCAGCATAATACCCTCAAGGTCCATCTGTGTTGTCACATATGGCCAAATTTCCTTATTTTTAGAGTTGATTGGTATTCCATTGTGTATATACACCACATCTTCTTTATCCATTCATTCCTTCATGGGCACCTAGTTTGCTTCCAAGTTTTGGCTATGCTCAGTGATGCTATCATGAACATAGGGGTGCATATATCTTTACATATTCATGTTTTCATGTTCTTTGCATAACTACCTAGCAGTGCAATTGCTGGATCGTACTATAGTACTATGCTTAATTTTTTTAGGAATCTCCATACTGTTTCCCATAGCGGCTTCTCCAGTTTGCAATCCCAGCAGCTGTGTATGAGAGTTCCCTTTTCTCCACATCCTCTCCAACACTTATTTCCTTTCTTGTTAATTATAGTCATTCTGATGGGCGTGAGGTGATATCTCATTATTGTTTTTATTTGCATTTCCCTGACAATTAGCAACGTTGGACATCTTTTGATGTGCCCATTGGCCTTCTGTGGAGAAATGTCTTTTGCCCATTTTTATTTTGTTTTTGAGGAAGATTAGCCCTGAGCTAACATCTACCACCAATCCTCCTCTTTTTGCTGAGAGAGACTGGCCCTCAGCAAACATCTGTTCCCATCTTCCTCTACTTCATATGTGAGATGCCTGCCGCAGCGTGGCTTGACAAGTGGTGCATATGTCTGCACCCAGGATCCCAGCTGGCAGATCCCGGGCCACTGAGGCGAAATGTGCCAACTTAGCCACTGTGCCACTGGGCCTGCCCCTCTTTTGCCAATTTTTTTACATCTGGTTTTTAATTTTTTGCTTATCATATTTGAGTTCTTTATATATTTTGGATAGTAACTGCTTATCAGATATATTATTTGCAAATATATTCTCCCCATTGATATGTTGTCTTTTCATTTTATTGATGGTTCCCTTTGCTGTGCAGAAGCTTTTTAGTTTGATGTAGTCCCATTTGTTGATTTTTTCCTATTGCTTCCCTTGCCCAGTCAGACATGGTACTTGAAAATATACTGCTAAGACCAATGTCGAAGAGCATAGTGTCAATGGTTTCCTCTTGAAGTTTAACGGTCTGGGGCTGATTGGTATTCGATTCAAGTCTTTAATACATGTTGAGTTAATTTTTGGGTGTGGTGTGTCAATGAAAATAATCCATAACCAATCTATAAATGAAAATTTGGGTGAGTTTATTCTGAGCTTAAATCTTAGGATTATAACCCGGGAGAGTCTTTCCACAAAGGAACAGAGCACTCCAAAGAAGTGGGGGTACACAGGGTGGTTATATACCCTCAAAGAGTATGTTTCAAATATGATTGAAATGTCCCTTTTACAATAGTCACAAGGCTGCTCTGTCAGCACAGTGGTTGATGGAAACGGCAGATAGGTGTGCTGTCTCAGTGAACACTGCAGGGTGGCAGGTGTGTTGCCTCGGGCTGCCCGGTCACAGATGAGCGCTGCAATCGGTTCCCAGCCTAAAGAAAGATGCTTAATCTTTAAAGAGACACCAACGTTAGGAGGGGGAGAGAAGTTGCACATTTATCTCAAGGGTCTTTTGCTCTTGCCATAGGGAATCTCTAAAGCAGATATACAATGCATGCTCTTAACCTAACCCTAACCCTAACCCAACCCTAAATCTAACCCTAAACCCTCACCCTCGCCGATGCGCTCCCGCTCACCCTCACCCTCACCCAACCCTAACTCTAAACCAACCCTCACCCTCGCCCTGGCCCCTGGCCCCTGACCCTGAACCTGACCCTAACGTCTAACCCTCACTCTATCCTAACCCTAATCCAACCCTAACCCTAACCCCTGCACCTCGCCCCTGGCCCTGACCCTGACCCTAACCCCTAACTCTAACCCTAACTGTAACCCTAAACCCTAACCCTAACCCTAACCCAAACCCTAGCCTTAGTCCTATCCCTAGCCCTAACCTTCACCCCGAACCCGAACCCTCGTAGCCAAACCCCAAACCCAAAGCCAAACCCCGAACCCAATCCTGCACCCCGAACCCATACCCTATCCTCTAAACCCTAACCCTAAGCCCTGACTCTTGACATGACTCTGAACCCTTCCACACCCTCTTTTTCAACTTCACCCCCACCCTCACCCTGATCTAACCCTAACCTCTAACTCTAACCCCTATCACTGGTCATCACTCTAGCTCTAACCCCTACCCTAATCCAATCCCGTGACCCCAACCAAACCTCACTCTCAACCTTCACCCTGATCCTAGGCCCTGGCCTCTGCCCTGACCCTACCCCTACCCCTACCCCTACTCTTCGCCCTCCCCCTTCCCCAGCCCGAACCCCTACCCCTTGTCCTCACTCTCGCCCTAACCCTAAATCTGCAAACCCTAACCCAGACGTGGCCGGGACAGTAAGGTCTCCAGCTCTGCTTGGCCCCTCCGGGTTTTGTTTTGGGGAGGCCGTGGGGGGAATTCTGTTCCCGCCGCTGCGCCCCGGCTTCCACCGCCCACGCCGCCCCAGGAAGCCCCGCGGAAGCTGACGCGCACGTGGCGCCGCGCGTGGCCGGGGGCGGGTTGGGCGAAGCGCGAGGACGGAGCGCACGCGGCTGGGCGACTGTTGGAAAAACTGGCCTCTCGCCGCCCCGCCCTTCGCCGCCGCCTCCCCGGGCCTGCCGCTGCCCTCCCGCTGTCCGGCCCAGGGCTCAGGTCACGCAGAGGGGGACCCGGTCCCCGTCCAGCCCTCGGTGAGCGCTCCTGGGCCCTCGGCGGGGGCGGTTCCGGCTCCTGTGGGAGCCCCGCGCCCTCAGCCTGTTGTGCGCGGAGTTGGGGCTCCGGCCTGCGGCGGGTGCGCCGGGCGGGGCAGGGGCGAGGGCAGCGGGGCGGAGGAGAGGCAGGTCGGCAGGGGGCCGCGGGGTTCCTGCCCCGTTGGCTAAACTTCGTGCGTCTGCCGTGCGGCCCTGGGCACCCGTTTCACCGGGCTGAGTAACTCGTGCGCTCCCCGCCTCTGCGCCGCCGCCTGGGCTGCCGAGTCGAGCAGGCCGCCGGCCGTAAACCCCCAGGAACCCTCCTGCCCCACAGCAGCCCAGGCGCGGGTGGGCAGGGTCACCGGAGTCCCTGTGACTGGGAACGTCAAACCCGGGAAGGCCCCGTCCCGGAAAATGGGCCCCTCACTCTGGCGCACCCGGGACGTCCCCTGGGGCTGGCCCTGTGCCTGAGAGGAAGACACTCAGAGGCATGGGGTGTCGCTTTCCCGTACTGCTCCTGCCATCCTGTCCAGTGGCTTCCCTGCCTCGACTGCCCTGCAACTCCAGGCTGGACTCGCCAGGGAGGAAGAGAGGGCCTGGCCGGGTACCCCGAGCCCTGCCCTGCCTGGGGTTTGGGAGCCGTGAGGGGCGGGGCGGAGGGGTGGGGAGACTGAAGGAGCTTCCGGAAGGATGTTAATTGTTGGCGGAGACAGCAGCTGGATGTGTGAAGGGTTTGTGGTTTGTGAAGCTAACACAGCTGACAATGACGGAAACCGCTGTGTGTCCCCACTTCTGCCTGGCCGCCTCCGTGCAGCCTGGGGTTCAGGTTGGTCGCCTGGCTGGCCATCAGCATCCAGGGAGCTGCAGGGACCCGGTGAGACTGGGAGGAGAGGGAGCCTGCAGGAAAGGGGGCTCGGCACGTCCCCTGAGCACACGAGACCCGCTCACAGGCCGGCGCGGCAGGGTGACTGGGGCACGGTCTCAAGTTGGTCACATCTGAGACTCCCTCTCTGACTTTGTGTGAGGGAGACCTTGGCGGGCGCCAGGCTGGACACCCTCCTTGCAGGAGCTCTGGGTCCTCCCACGCCCCCAGGGGTGGGCACTCCTGCCCATTTTGCAGATCAGAGAAGTCGCTGGGGGAGGCTGAGGCCACAGGCTCCCAAGTGGTGGATTTGGGACTCAGACCTCCAGCCGTGGTGCTGGTGTGTGTGGAGGGAGAAGGAAAGCTGGGCTGTTGGTGACTTACTGCTGCCCTGCCTGGTGTGGGGCTGCAGGGCTCCTGTGTGGCCTGCCTGTCCCCTTTCCCTGTTAACACTTTGCACACTGGTATGCACACATGCCCAGGGCTGGGCTCTTCCAGAGGGTCCCTTCTGGAACAGGACGCTCAGCCCTGTCTCTGCCCCACTCTGACCTAGCAGGGCCCTGGCTGGGGCCGCGAACAGGACAGGTCCCTGTCCCTGACATCCTGGGAGGGTCCTGGGATGGCACAAGTACAGCCCAGGCTGCAGGGTGGCTGTGCTGGAGCCCCTGTCATCTGGCTTCTGCGGCTGCCGTGCTGCACATGGACTGAAGGACAAAGGCGGAAGCAGGTCAGACAGGAGACGACTGTGGTAACCCAGGGGGAGTGGAGGTGGGGACAGGTGCTCAGACCTTAGATGTGTCTCTGCAGGTAGAACCAGGGCAGCTTCACAGGCACGTGACGGTGCTGTCACACGAGGTCCTTTGTCAGAAAAGCTATGCTTGGCACATGCTCTGCTGTCACATCTTGAAACCTTTCTGTTCCCAGCTTTGTTGAGACGTGGTTGACATAGAACACGTGTGAGTCTAAGGTGAACAGTGTGACAGTTTGAGCCACATGTACGTTGCAGGACGGCTACCACAGCAAGGTTAGTTCACCCCTCCATCACCTCGCATTTTTTTGTGGTGAGAACATTTCAGATCTACTCTTAGCAACTTTCAAGTATTTAATACAGTGTTCTTAACTATATATAACTATAGTCAGCATGCTGTGCATTGTGTCCCCAGAACTTATTTATGTTATAACTGAACGTTAGTACACTTTGTCCAACATCTCTTTCTCCTCACTCCCAGCCCCTGCCAACCACAGTTCTCCTCGGTTTCTGTGAGTTTGGTCTTTTAGATTCCACATAGAGGTGAGATTATACAGTATTTGTCATTCTCTGACTTGTTACACGTAGCGTAAGGTTCATCCTTGTTGTTGAAAATGGCAGGATTTTCTTCTTTATCGTGGCTGAATAATACTTCATGTTGTTATACACTCCATCCTCCATATGCGTTCTTCTGTCGGTGGACCCTTAGCTTCTTTCCATGTCTTAACTATTGTGGATAACTCCGTGATGGACATGAGTGCAGCTGTCTCTGAGGCCCTGCGTTTCCTCACATGTGTGCCCAGAGCGGGGCTGCTGGCTTAGGTAGTAGGTCTCCTTTTAATTGTTCTAAACTGCAGTGTGTTGATTTGACCCATATATATACTGCAGTATGATTACCACCACAGCTGTAGCTGACACCTCTATGATGTCGTATAATTACAATCTCTTTGTGGTGAGAACATTTAAGAACCAGTTTCTTAGTCACTTTTAAGTATATAATACAGTATTGTTGTCTGTAATCACTGGGCTGAGCATTAGATTCCCAGAACTTCCTCATCTTCTAATTGCAAGTTGGTGCCCTTTAACAGCATTTCCCCAACTCCCCCGCCTCTTAGCCCCTGGTAACCAGCATACTATTCTGTTTCTGTAAGTTTGGGTTTTTTAGATTCTACATGTAAGTGATATGATACAGTATTCATCTTTGTCTGGCTTATCTCACTGAGCATAATGGCATAAGTTCATATGTGTATATACGACATCTTCTTTATCCATTCATCCGTCGATGGGCACTAGGTGGTCTCCGTGTCTTGGCTGTTGTGGGCAGTGCTCCGTCACTGCCAGGATCCCTCATGTTGCCCTTTTGTTCTCTCACCCTCCCTTCCTGCCCCGTCACCTCTGGCAGCATTTCATCTGCTTCCTGTCTCTATATTTTGTTGTTTCAGGAATGTTATGTGGACGGGATCAAGTAGTGCATAACCTTTCTGCATTGTCCATCTTCATGCTGGGATCCGTCCCAGCTCTGCCTGTGTCCCTGGGGGACCCCTTCCTGCTGCTGTGTAGCGTTCTGTGGTGTGGATGGACCACAGTTTGTCACATGTCCTCTTGCTTGTGTCCAGTGTTTTGTCTGACAAATAGAGTGGCTGTGAGCACTTGTGTAGAGGCTTTTGTGTGAACATAGGTCATTTCTCAGGACTAGATGCTCAGGAGTGCGGTTGCTGGTTCGTATGGTAGTTGTATGTTCAGTTTTATAAGAAACTGCCAAACCCTTTCCAGAGTGGCGGCACCATTCTGCACTCCCGCCGCCTTCTCCCTAGCATTGGTGTCACGCTGTTCTGTTCATGCTGAGCTTGGGGGTGTGGTGTGGAAGCGCATCGTGGTTTTACTCCATGTGTCTCCAGTGCTGATGACGTGGACCTGGTCACGTGCTTTCTGCCGTGTGCGCGTCTCGTCAGGGGAGGTGCCCTCTCAGCCCCTGCCGTCTTCTGGTTGAATTGTTGGATCCTGTTGAGTTGCGAATGTTCTGTGCATGTTCTAGATGCCTCTTCTCCGTCGGTATGTGGTTCGCAAATGTTCTTCCAGGTCAGTAGCTGTCTTTCCGTCCTCTTCCCAGCATCTTTGTCATGGTGCAAATGCTTATGTTTTACTGCGGTCCAGCTGAGAGACTTTCCTCTTAGGGCTGGTGCTTTTGGTGTCAACTCCAAGAAGTCTCTGTCTAATCACAGGTCTCGTTTTTCTCCGATGGTTTTTCCTAGAAGTTTTATAGGTTCCTGTTGATGCTCTGATGGGGCTCTCACCCACAGAAGGGATGCAGTGATCATGACCACGGATCTGATCAGACTCCAGCTCTGTAGCAAGGCTGTGAGAGGAGGATGTCTGTCCAGCCTCTCCAAGCACACCTCAGAGAAGCCACGGTGCGTCGTGTGCCCCACTCCCCACCTGCCACTCAGCAGGAGTCCAGTAGTGCCTGCATCCTAATTCACTTACTCTTGTGTCTTGTTTTTTCAACTTTTTCTTTTAGAAAACTTCAGATATTCATAAAAGTAGGCAAAACAGTATAATGACCACCCCCTCGTATGCCCAACTTCAACAATTATCAGCTCATAACTAATCTTACGTTGTCTATCCTGCCTCCTCTTTCCCCCTTTCATATTATTTTTTCAATTTTTTTATAGAATAGCACAGTCACTGAAAAGTGCTTGTGTCCTAAGTGTGCGCTCACCTGGTAAAGATTCTGGCACGCACTTCTGACTTGTGTGTACTGGGGGAAGTGTTCCCACACCACCAAGCAATTCCCTGACACCTGACAGTCGCCTGACAATGGAACTGAGTCCTGACGCTCTGCTGGAGCCAGCATCAGATTCCACAGGTCAAGGGCTCAGTCCCATGAGACAGCCTCCACTCAGACGCCAATCGCAAGCCCAGGTTGTCACTTGTGCTTCTGACCAACAGGATATAAATCAGACGTTGGCGTGGCCCCCTCTTTGGATTTGATTAATTTGCTAGAGTGGCTCACAGGACTCTGGAAACCCGTTTACTCACTAGATTACTGGTTTGTTACATAAGATATTAAGACATGAATCAGCAGCCAGATGAAGATACACACAGCAGGGTCCCTGACAAAGGAGCTTCTGTCCTCGTGGAGTTTGGGGCCTGGCAGGTGGCCCAGGGAAGCGTGCTAGTTCACCAACCTGGAAGCTCTCCAAACCTGTTTTGGGGTTTGGGTTTTTGTGAGGCTTCATTATGTAGGCAGGATCGATTAACTCATTGGCCATTGGTAATTGATTCAACCTCCAGCCCCTCTCACATTCCTGGAAATCAGGGGGCGGGACAGAAAGTTCCAGCCCTCTGATCATGGTTGGTTCCAAGGCCACCAGCCCCCCGTCCTTAGGGGCTTAAAAAGAGTCACCTCATTAGCACAAACCCAGTTGTGGTGGAAAGGGGCTCATTAGGAATAACAAGACACCCATTTCACCTTTATGCTCTGAAGCATTTTCAGGAGTGGAGAATAAGAGACTTGTATTACAACAAAAGATGCTTCCATTGCTCTTATTTCTCAGGGAATGCAAAGGGCTTTAGGAGCTGTGAGCCAGGAACCGCAGAGGAAGAGCAAATATAGGAAATATATTTGGTCATCTGAATGAGCAAATACTGACTTCTCATAAATCACAGTATCGCCCCTGGGGAGACAGTACTGGGAGCAGGAGCCCAGTATTATCAGCCCTCCAGCCCCTGTGGCCCCTTCCGTCACTGCCCTCAAGTAACCTCTGTCCTGACTTCTGACATGACGGACAGAGGCTGGTCTGCCGCTAGCTGTTGAGGTGGTGACGGGGGCGTGGTGGAGCAGGCAGTGCGTGGAGTGGGTAGAGTCGGCAAACCTGGGTTCACAATGGGCCTCGGTGCTGGCTGGCATGTGACCATGGCAGTTACGCAGCCTCCAGGAGCCTCAGTCCCTCTTGTACGCAGCGAGGACTGTGCTGGAGCTGCCAGGTTGCTGTGAAAATCATTAGTAACATGCACCAAGGCCCAGCCCGGGGCTCGGCACGTAAGGAGTGGCTCTCATGGTCATCATCATTGGTGTTCTTTTCAATTTTGCACCTGTGGTGAGACGGGAGGCGGCCTGTGGCCCTGGCAGGCGTGTGTAGCTGTGGTGAGAGCTGTGGACGGCCAGAGCCGTCAAGACAGCTGACACTGCTTTGTGGCATCGTGGGGAAACTACCCTGCACCAGACTGTCAATTAGCTCGAAAGACGACCTGAGGAACACTGTCACTGACACAGCAGATGTGGGAAAGGGGCCTAGGACGGCCCCCTGGCAGTCAGCAGAGATGGTTCAGTGGGAGAAGCCATTCCCTGGGCTTTCTGCACTCATGGGGCCACACAGCTAGTCTGTGCAGTACTGAAAAGGCGGTTTATCTTCTCATTTTCCGTCGTGTATATTCTATAGCTCTTTTTTTTTGTGGTTACCATGGCATTACACTTAACATCCTAAAGTTATCACACTCGAATGTCAATTTATACCAGCTTAACTTCAGTCCCATACAAACACTCTGCTCCTGTATGGCTCTGGCTCCACCCCATTGCAGTTATGAACGTCACCAAATTACATCTTTAGGCATCGTGTCCAAAAACAGATACTAATACTTGGGTTTTTTAACACTTTAGTCTCTTAATGTAGAAAACAAAAAGTGGAGCCACAAACCAGTTAGAATAGCACCAGCTTTTATAGTCGTCCACATAGGTACTCTGACCAGGATCTTTATTTCTTCGTGAGGCGTCAAGTTACCGTCCAGTCCTTTCGTCTCATCCTGAAGGACCCCGTCCTTGGAGGCAGGTCTGGTGTAAAGCACTCTCTCAGCTTTGGTTTATATGGGAACGTCTTTATTTCTCCCTCATTTTTGAAGGATGGTTTTGCCAGATTCAGGATTCTTGGTTGGATTCTTTTTTCCTTCTGCACATTGAGTACATGAGCCCAGGCCATCTGGCCTCCAAGGTTTCTGGTGAGAAATCTGTCGTGGTCTTACTGGGAGAATGTGATAAAAGCTCTCTTCCGTCAGCTTTGTAAACATGGATGATGTCCCTTCTCATGTCTTACGCAACAGAGCGTTTTCCTGTAGTATTATAACGTCCTTAAGTTGTAGGATCGTTGTGAGACTAATCAGAGCTTAAGGGAAAGGAACTGAGTATTTTAAGTGTAGACATTGTGAGGTCTTTAAAAGCCAAAAATGATTACAGATTTTTAAATTAGAAATGAAAAGGCCACTGAAGCATCCTACAGATTTTAATTTCTAATAAAGTAAATATCACTCTCTAATATCCCACACAAATAAAAAGCTCTTTAGGTTCCTATTTTTAAGAGTAACATGGCCTTGAGACCTAAATGTGAGAAAACCTCTGTAGTTGATCCCCAGCCATGACTGGTCCATTTCTTGCTCTACCCTCATAAGGAGCCACAAGTCCCTATGGAGTTTACACATCCTATACAAGCCTCTGGCTGGGCTTAATGTTTTTGGTGTTAATAGCCCAGGAAGCTAATTTTTGGTAACCTATAGGTGGACCACAGCCAACTTGTTTTCTCCTTTTTTTCCCCCATTTTAAAAATTTTTTCTTTTTTATCTAGTTTTTCTTTTTTCATTTTGCTTTATTTTCTTTTTTACTTTTCTTTGTTCTCCTTTCTCATTTTATTATTCTTTTTGTCTTTTTCTCATTTTTCTTCTTTAATTTTTCTCACTTTTTTACTTTTTCTCAATTTTTATTTGTTCTTTTCTCATTTTTTAAAATTTTTTTTCTTCATCTTCTTTAAATTTTTTATTTAGTATTGTTAAGTTGTCAGTCTAGTTATTATAGTTAGTGTTGTTGGTATAGTTAATGTTGTTGGTATAGTTGGTATAGTTAGCATTATTTATTAGCATAGTTAGTAAGCATAGGTGGCCTTATTAGTATCTTTAGTTAGTAGTAGTTAGCATACTGTCATTTTGCTTGTTAGCATAGTTAGCATGGTTAGTTAGCATTCTGGGTGTAGTTAGCAGGTCATCAGGCTTCTGGGCCTCGAGGCCACCTCCACTGAGGGGCAGCCCGTATTCACAGTTCTGAGCTCCTCAGGGCCGTCGGGGAGCTGGGCCGCCACATCCCAACCGGAACAGAAGTAGCCGTGAAAGTCATCCCAAAGGAGGAGCAGATCTTCTCCAGAGCGAGGGCACCTTTCTGCAAAGTCCACAGCCTGAAGGCCTTGCGTCACCCGAACATCACCCAACACCCAGCCGTCAGGTTGTTTGAAGTGATTGACACTGAGAAGATGTTGTATCTCACCGAGCACGTCCGCGGGGGAGACCTGTACCATCACCTGACAAGCATGGCCCTATGACTGAGGAGGAGGCCCAGGGAATGTTCCGGCAGCTGCCCTCGGCCCTCCAGTGCTGCCACCGCAAGGGCATCGTGCACGGGGACCTGACGCTGGGACAGTGCTGCTTGACACTGGGCTCGGCATGAAGCTGGCAGACGTGCTGCTCATCACCATGTTCCTGGGCCACAGGCTGAGCACGGGCCGCAGCAGCCCCTGGGGCACGGCCTGGAGGTCCTCCAGGGCGAGGACTAGGAGGGGCCCCTGGCAGACGTCTGGAGCCCTGGCGTGCCGCTCTACGCCGTGCTCTCCGGCTCCCTGCCCTTCCCGGGGAACAACTCCAGGTGGTACCCACCCGCCATGCCCCTGCTGTGCGAGGACAGGAGGTTCCTGCAAAAACTGATGACCTCGACCCCAGCACGAGGAGCTTGAGAGACATCCTGAAGGACCATATGTGCTGGGTCACTATGGGAGACCCAGGCCTTACAGGGAGCTGCCCTGCGACAGCGGGGCCCCTGAGTGACACACGTCATGAAGAACATGGGCTTTGGGAGGGACGACGTCCAAGATTCCTTACGAAGAAGGGGATACGATGACACCAGGGCAACCTCCCTCACCCTGAGCGCCCAGAAGCCCCAGGTGGAGGGCCACACTGTCCGCGTAGACCTTACATCCCTCCCATTGACCCCACGGCCGCAGTTTCTTCCCGACCTGCATGGTGCAGCTGGAGGTCTCTGGGTCCCAGTGAGACGCAGACACAGGGAGCCTGTTGTCCCCGCCTGGCTCCGCGAGGCGGAGGATCAGTGGCCTGGGGAGAACGGAGAGCCGGGGCCAAAGGCCAAAGGCCTGCCTGCCCCCTGCCTGGCCTGGAGTCAAGGACTGACCGCCACCCCAGCCCAAACCCCCAGCCTGGCCCCGGGGCCTCCGCCTCCACCCGCAGCACCAGCAGCAGCAGTGGGGCTGGGGAACCAGCTACCCCAGGGTGTGTCCTGTGGGGATGCTTCCCACACTCTGGGCAGCCTGATGGGGCCTCTGGCCTCTCAGTCCAGCCCCAGCCAGACCGGCAGGTGGCGGGGGGCCATTGGGGGACCAGTAGGGGACGCTGGGAGATTCTTCAGCTTGATAAGACACTTGTGTTCCTGTCTCCCCAGCAAGAAAAGGATTTAATGTAATTTGACTATTCACCTTGTCAAAGATGCTGTGAAAGTGCCCATAGCTCACTAGTTCTTCATTTGTTTACGCTGAGTGTCTGCAAAGTGTTTGAGGGCTGGTTTAAAATAGGATGTATTAAGGGAAAATTGGAGGTTCAGTGAGGCCAACAGACCAGGAGACGACGCCATTGACAAGATGGTTTGTTACTCACAGTTCCCAAGGAGGGGGCACACCACACCACGCAGGGCCACACAGGCCACACGGGAAGCTCCAGGGTGGCCAGGAGGCAGAGGGAGCAGGGGCTGTGGGTTCTGCGGGAAGGAACAGTAAGGCGGGCGAGCAGGCTCAGGACTGGCTGGTCTGAATAACTGCACAGGCTCTGGGGCCTGGGCCTGTCCCAGGTGTCTGGTGCCCACCTGGGTGACAAGGGCAGGGGGACAGTGGCCTGGATGTGCATGTTCAATAGAGGGGGTGCTTGGGGTGTGGACGGACACTGGATTGGTTGGTGTGTATTTGAAAAGTGGGCCCAAGAAGGAGCATTGTTCCTGGCAACAAGGGAGGCAGGAGGCCAAGAGGAGGGGATTCAGGACAGGATTGCGTAGGCACGCAGGACGGATGTTAAAACACCAGGTTCACAGAAGATGGAAACATGCTCCAGACAAGGGCTCAGCTGGAATGTCTCCTCCTCAGAGGAGCCTTCCCTGCCTCCTCCATCCACAGTGACAGCTTCCACCCCAGTCTCCCTGCCATCGCCCCCCTCATTCCCCTCACAGCGTTCAGGGCCTGGCCCCTGCTTAGCACCCCGCCCTGACTCCCCACCCAGATGAAAAGTCCTCACAGGGGCCCCCAGGCTTCTTGAAGTTGGTGTCCCAAACAGAGTTCAGCCCCTGCCCCACGACTGCCTTCTCTCCATGAAGCCCATCTGGGTGAGGGAGCCCCCACCAACGGGATCCTCAGCCCCCGGGCAGGGCTCCCCCCAACCATGCACCACCAGTGCATCCCAGCCCTGGATCCACCACCAGAGACCCTATGATGCACTCCTTCCCGTCTTCAGCCTTGGGCTGCACACCGACCCCCATCTTCACAAACCCCCAGGAGGCTGGGACACTTACGGGGACTCAGAGGCAACACGTGGGTGTGGCTGGAATGATGAGCAGTGTCCCAGAGCATGGGGCGAACCAGGGCTCCCGAGCAGCCAGAGCAGGGCTGTTGTGGCAGGACGGCCATAAAGGGGGTGAGGTGGGCACCCGACTGCAGCCCCTCCCCATGTGCCCCAGAAGTCCCCATGTCTCACTCCTCGGCTTGGCTGGCTGTCCCTCCTGCTGTGAGGTGGGTGCCTGTTCACTCATTCACTCACTCATTCGTTCACCATGTATTTAGTACCTGCTTGGTGCCAGGCCCTGGCTAGATGACAGCTCGTCCTTGGAGGCCCAGCTCAGACGTCACCTCCTCCATGAAGCCATTCTCCATCCCTATCCCCTCCTGCAGCCCCCTGGCCTCACCTGGGGCCCGCAGTGCTGTGCTCATACTTTGAGGACCCTCCAGCCTATGTGCTCTGGGAGGCTCTGGACCAGATGCAGAAAGGGCCTCAGAAAAACATGATGATGGCAAAAACCCTGAGTAGATGGATTTCCCGCCGGCTGCGTGAGAGTCAGGCTCACCCCTTCCTCCCTCTGCTCACAGGCCTGGGGCGTCCAGGATCTGGAGCGCCCTTTTCATTCTTGTCAGAGCAGTGACTTTCCTCTTGTGAAGAAGGCTCGCTCCTTCCTCCTTCACTGCAGACACCTCTGTGAGCCTCCTGCCCTTCCTCCTTCATGGTGGGTGGCCTCTTCCAAGTGTCACCTGAATCTGGACTTTCACCCATCCCTGTATCCCCAAGAGTCTTAACTCATTCCCGCATCATGACCTCTTGGAAGAAAACGTAGACATAAATCTTCATGCCTTGCATTAGGAAGCGGTTTCTTAGATGTGACACCAAAAACATAAGCTACAACAGCAACAAAAACAGTTAAATTGGACGACACCAAAATTAAAACCTTTTGTCCTACAATGGACATGATCAAGAGAGTGAAGAGACAACCCATAGAATGGGAGAAACTAATTAGAAATCCTATGTGAAAAGGAGGTTGTGTCTATAATATATAAAGGACACAGCTTGATAATAACACAAATAACCCTATTAAAATGTTAACAAGGGATCTTAGTAGACATTTGTCCAATAAAGATGTACAAATACCCAATAGGCACATGAAAAGATGCTCAACATCCTTAGTTATTAGGGAAATGCAAATCCAAACCAAGTGAGACACCACTTCACACCCACTAGCGTGCCATTCATCAAAAAGAGAGGGAGTAACCAGTGCTGGTGAGGATATGGAGAAACAGGAACCTTCACACACTACTGGGGGGAATCTAGAATGGTTTAGCCTTGTTGGAAAACAGTCTGGCAGTTCCTCAAAAGGTTAAACAGACAGTTACGAGGTGACCCAGCAATTCCACTCCTAGGTGTATACCCAAGAGAAACGAGAACATGCATCCACGCAAAAACTTGTGCATGAGTTTCCATAGCAGCGTTATTCCTAATAACCAAAAAGTGAAAACAACTGGTGAATAAACAAATTGTTTGTACAATGGAATATTATCTGGACATTCAAAGGAATGAAGTGCTGATGTGTATTACACTGTGGATGGACCTTGCAGACATTCTGGTGAGTGAGGGCAGACAGACACAAAGGACCACAGACTGTAGGAGGCCGCGTGTGTGAAGTCTGGAGTAGATGACTGTAGAGACGAAAAGCAGATGAGTGGTCGTCGAGGCCGTGGGGGAGAGGCCATGGGGGAATGGGAGTCACTGCTCAAGGGGTGGGGTTCCTTTGTGGGGTGATGACCATGTTCTAAAATTGATCGTGGTGATGGTTGCACAACTCTTAAGACCACTGAATTGTACACATTAAACGGTGAGTTGTATAGCATGAGAATTATATCTCAATAAAGTCCTTAGCAAAAAAACAATAGTCTGAGGGAAATTGGTTAACTAATGTATGAAGAATGCCTAAATCAGAGCCCTGACTCAAAGCAGACACCAAACGGAATTCTGACTTGATTAAAGCACTCGATGTAAAAGTAATTAAACTGAAGTCGAACTATCATGATGGGAAGAGCTTTTCAAGCATAAAACAAGTTATAAGGAAGAATTAACAGGTATAATGACCACATAAAAGTTTAAGAATTTCAGTTCAAAACACACTTTTTTCCTATAACTGAATTCACCATCACACACAAGCCTCTGTTTTTGCTCAGAGTGGGAAAACCCAAACTTGGCTCATGGTTTCAAGCGTGGTCATTTCTGGACCTAAGCCCAACCGGTGGCAGATTGGCCCTGTCCTTCTCCCTTCTCCCCGAAGGTGTTCTGAGTTTCTGGGGGCAAAGGAGGCAGATTGGCCCTGTCCTTCTCCCTTCTCCCCGAAGGTGTTCTGAGTTTCTGGGGGCAAAGGAGGCAAGAGGAACTTAGGAATCTTCCCGGCTCTGAGGCAGGGCAGTCTGGTCCTCAGCGCTGTGCTCCCATCCTCCCTGACGCCCCCTGGGGACAGCTGGCCCCTGTGGCTGGTCTGTGACAACCCCGCCTCAGTGCGTGGTCTTGGCAGCACAGCAGGCTGGGCTTGCAGGGCTGTTCACACTGTTGTGCTCTGGTTCCAGTGTCCTGGACGCTGCCTGGGCCGCACTGGGAGGACGCAGCGCCATCTCGTCGTCTGTCAGCACCACAATGGCTCTGACTCCAGCTGTGAGGACAGGAGGTACTGGCCCTGCCCTAGGGCAGCACACAGCTCTCCTGCCTCAGTCCCTGCCCAGGACTGCGCGGAAGGAAGAATTACTCTACCTGTCCAACACCTTGCGTAATTGACAATGCCTAGGAAATTATGGTTTCTCATAGCGCCGTCCTCAATAGTATATATTATACTGAAATATTAATTAATATGTACTATTTATTATTACAAATTATTTGTATGTTATGCATATAGAGAGAGGCCCCCAAAAGAGGAAAAAGGGGAGCATTGAGAGTACACAGATATTTTCCTCTGTATACCAAGTTGGTCAAGCCTAACAGTATTTGGTTTAGGTTCAGATTAAATCTCCCTGCTGTTTTCAATGAGCTACTTTATTCCTCTTTAGAAGCTTAGGCTGAGGATGCTGGCACAACGGTCAGTAGAGAATAGGGTAAACTTTCATCCTGGTAAGGGGCTCCAACGAGGAGGGGTTTGCTTTGCTCTTGTGTAAAAGTCGGAGCTGGTCAATGGTTCAGGGGTAAAGAGCTTTGTTCCGTGAGCTCCCAGGGACCCAGACTTCTTCCATCTGGTGACTCCGCCTTCCCAGCCATCCCACTACTGAGTATCTACACAAACAATTGGAAATCAACAATCCAAAGTAACATATGCACCCTTATGTTCATTGTTGCATTATTCACAGTAGCAAAGACATGGAAGCAACCCAAGTGCCTATCAACCGATGATTGGATAAATGTGGTATATATCTATACAATGGAATACTACTCAGACAGAAAAGAAGACAAATTCATCCTATTTGCAGTAACATGGAAGGACCTAGAGGGAATTATGCTAATAAGCCAGACTGAGAAAGACAAACACCGTATGATTTGACTCATGAGGAATATAAACAAGTACTGGGACAAAGAGAACAGTTCAGTGGTTACCAGGGTAAGGGGGGTAGGGGAACCCTGTGGGTGAAGAGGAGCACTTACGTGGTGACACTCAAGAAATAATGTAAAACTGAAATCTCACATTGATGCAAACTATTGTGAACTCAATAAAAAAAAGACACCAGTGTGAGAGGGAGGCACAAAGTGGAAGATGACACAGGGTGTGTGATAAACAAAGACAGAGACATCACGTGGAATGTTACACATGAATTCAGAGACGCCACGTGGGGGGTTACCAGGAAGTCGTCCTTGCCACAGGGATTGTGACACACATGTTCAATACCCCAGGGCTTATGTGACACACAAAGTCTGAGACACCTCCAGGTGTGTTACACACGATGTCTGAGATGACTGGGGGAGTGTGATAGGCGTTTTACCCATGATGTCACACAGGTCAGTGGGAGTGTCATGCACGAAATGAAAGACACCAGTGGGTGTGTTACACAAGAATTCAAAGACAGCCAGGAGAGAGTGATGCACGAGTAAAGAAACAACCTGGGTTGTGTGACACATGAAGTCAGAGAAGCCAAGGGGAGTCATACACACGAGGTCAAAGGGCACAAGGGAGAGTGACACGTGGGATGTGAGATGACGTGAGGCTTGTGATGTGCAAACTCAGAGACCCCATGGGTGGATTGTTACACATGAAGACCCTGAGGCCATGGGGTTTGTGACACACGAGGTGACAGATGACAGGTGGCATGTGACACACGAAGTCAGAGAGGCCACTGGGAAGGTTACAAATGATGTCAAAGAAAACACAGGAACTGTTGCGAGAAGAAGTCAGAGACACCACAGAGGAGCATTAGGAACAAAGCCAGAGACACAAGGGTGAGTGTTATTGAGGCAGCCAGAAAGCCCACATCAAGTGTGACACAAGAAACCAGAGATGCCACCAGGGATGTTACCTATTTCAGAGACGCCTTTGGGAGTGTGAGACATGCAGTCAGAGACTATGGGTGGAGTGTTGAACACAAATGCAGAGACGTGAGTGGGATTGTTGCAAATGAAGTCAAAGACATCAGGGGGAGTGGGACAAAAGAATTTCAAGACATAACATGACATGTTATACATGAAATCAAAGACACCAGGGAGAAAGTAACACACAAAGTCAGAAACGACATGGGGTACGTGACACAGGCAGTCAGAGATGCCATGTGGAATGTTAACACGAAGTCACAGACAGCAGGGTAGTGTTAGACAAGAAGTAGGAGATGCCATATGGAGTGTTACAAATGAGTCCTCGATGCCATGGGGATTACGACACAGGGGTTCAGAGATGCCAGGGGTTGTGTGACACAAGAAGTCAGGGATGCCACCGGGTATGTTACACTCAAAGTCAGAGAGGCCTGGGGGAATGTTACGCATGAAGTCAGAGATCCCACTGGGAGTGTAGCACACGAAGTTGAACAGCAGAGGGAGTGATGAACGAAGTGAGAGACATCAGGGCAAGTGTGACACTCAAAGTCAGAGACTACTGGGGGACTGTTAAACATGAAGTCAGAGACGCCAGGGATATTGTTACAAATGAAGTCAAAGATACAACGGGGAGTGTTATGCAAGAAGTTAAAGACACCTGGTCGCATGTTTTTGTGTATGGCATGAGTTAATAATCTATCTTCATTCTTTTGCGTGTGGCTGTCCAGTTTTCCCAACATCATTTATTGAAGAGACTCTCTTTTCTCCATTGTATGTTCTTGGCACCTTTGTCAAAGATTAGTTGTCCGTAGGTGTGGTTTTATTTCTGGGTTTTCAGTTCTGTTCCATTGATCTGTGTGTCTGTTTTTGTACCAGTACCATGCCATTTTGGTCACTATGGCTTTGTAGTACATTCTGAAGTCAGGGATTGTGATACCTCCAGCTTTGTTCTTCTTTCTCAGGATTACCTTAGCAATTTGGGGTCTTAGGTTGCTCCACATGAATTTTAGGATTTTTTGCTCTATTTCCGTGAAGAATGTCATTGGGATTCTGATAGGGATTGCATTGAATCTGTAGATTGCTTTGAGTAATATGGACATTTTAACTATGTTTATTCTTCCAATCCATGAGCAAGGAATCTCTTTCCATCTCTTTATGTCATTATCAATTTCTCTCAGTAATATCTTATAGTTTTCATTGTATAAGTCCTTTACCTCCTTGGTTAAATTTATTCCTAGGTACTTTATTCTTTTAGTTGTGATTGCAAACAGAATTGTATTCTTGAGTTCTCTTTCTGTAAGTTCGTTGTTGGAGTATAGAAAAGCAACTGATTTTTGTAAGTTGATTCTGTACCCTGCAACTTTACTGTAGTTGTTAATTATTTCTAGTAGTTTTCCAATGGAATTTTTTGGGTTTTCTATATATAAGATCATGTCGTCTGCAAACAGGGAGAGTTTCACTTCTTCATTCCCAATTTGGATTCCTTTTATTCCTTTCTTTTGTCTAATTGTTCTGGCCCAAACCTCTGGTACTATGTTGAATAAGAGTGATGATAGTGGGCATCCTTGTCTTGTTCCTGTTCTCAGGGGGATGGCACTCAGTTTTTGCCCATTGAGTATGATGTTGGCTTTGTCATATATGGCCTTTATTATGTTAAGGTAATTTCCTTCTATCCCCATTTTATTAAGAATTTCTATCATAAATGGCTGTTGGATCTTGTCAAATGCTTTCTCTGCATCTATTGAGATGATCATGTGGTTTTTATTCTTCAATTTGTTGATGTGGTGTAGCACGTTGATTGATTTGAGGATGCTGAACCATCCCTGTGTCCGTGGTATGAATCCCACTTGATCATAATATATGATCCTTTTGATGTATTGCTGAATTAGGGTTGCCAAAATTTTGTTGAGAATTTTTGCATCTATGTTCATCAGCGATATTGGCCTGTAGTTCTTTTTCGTGCTGTCCTTGTCAGGCTTTGGTATCAGAGTGATGTTGGCCTGGTAGAATGTCCCTTTGATCATTATATACTGCCTCTCTTTGTCTCTCTTCACCTGCCTTATCTGGAAGTCTACTTTGTCTGATATAAATATTGCGGCACCTACTTTCTTTGGTTTGCCATTAGCTTGGAGTATCGTCTTCCATTCCTTCACTCTGAGCCTGTGTTTGTCATTGGAGCTGAGATGTGTTTCCTGGAGGCAAATTGTTGGATCTTGTTCTTTAATCCATCCCACCAGTCTGTGTCTTTTTATTGGAGAGTTCAATCCCTTTACGTTGAGGGTGATTATTGATGTATGAGGGCTTAATGCTGTCATTATGTCACTCGTTTTCTGGTTTTCCTGCATTTCCTTTGTTTCTTGTCCTGTGTGTTTTGGTCTACCCATTGAATTATGTAGTTTTTTATGGTGTGTTTCTTTGTTTTTTCCTTACTTGTTTTTTGTGTCTCTGTTCTGCTTTTTAAGTTAGTGGCTGCACTGAAGTTTGTATTCAGAATCTTGTACCTAACGTAGCCCATTTTCTGATGGCCTCTTATTTCCTTAGACTAAACTGATTCAGTCCCTTTCCTCCTCCCCTCCTAAGTTATTATTTTCATATCTTATTCCAACTTGTGTTGTGAGTTTGTGGTTAAAGTGACAAGATTGTCTTTGTTTTTGGTGTTTTCCTTTCCTTTAGTCTAATCCTATATTGAATATTTGCTCTCCTATTCTGATTCTGTCTATCTATTTATTTCCTTACTCTGTGTTTTGTGACCCCTTTCTCCCTTTTTTTCCTTTTTCAGGTATGAGGGCCTTCTCAAGGATTTCTTGTAGGGGAGTTCTCATTGCTATGAAGTCCCTTAGCTTTTGTTTGTCTGGGAAAGATTTAACTTCTCCCTCATATCTGAAGCATATTTTTGCTGGATAGAGTATTCTTGGCTGAAGATTCTTATCTTTTAAAGTTTTGAATATGTCGTTCCATTCTCTCCTAGCTTGTAAGGTTTCTGCAGAGAAATCTACTGAAAGTCTGATAGGGGTTCCTTTGTAGGTTATTTTCTTCTGCCTTGCTGCCCTGACTATTCTTTCTTTGTCACTCATTTTTGTTGGTTTTACTAATATATGCCTTGCAGTAGGTCTTTTTACATTGACAATCTAGGAGATCTGGAAGCTTCCTCCACACATATTTCCCTCTCATTTCCTAGATTTGGGAAGTTCTCTGCTATAATTTCTTTGAACATGCTTTCTGCTCCATTCTCCTTTTCTTCACCTTCTTGAATACCTATAATTCTTATGTTGCATTTCCTCATTGAGTCAGATATTTCTTGGAGACTTTTTTCATTTCTTTTTAGTCTCAGTTCTCTCTCCTCCTCTGTCTGGAGCAATTCAACATGTCTATCCTCAATTATGCTGATTTGTTCCTCTATGGTGTCCACTTGAGCATTCAGGGAATCCGTATTTTGTTTTATCTCTTCCATTGTGTCTTTCATCTCTAATATTTCTGATTGATTCTTCTTTATAGTTTCAATCTCTTTTGTGAAGTAGCTCCTGAACTCATTGAATTGTTTCTCTGTATTCTCTTTTACATTGTTGAGTTTTTTGATGATAGCTATTTTGAATTCATTGTCATTTAGTTTACTTATTTCTGCGTCCTCAGGGCTGAGTTCTGGGTGCTTGTCGTTTTCTCTCTGGTCTGGAGATTTGATGAATTGCCTGATGTTGGAAGGATGGGACTTTCCCATTCTGATATTATTCAGTTGCAGTTACAGCCTGTTGCCACTGGGTGGAGGTTGATAGCTGCGTGTTCTGAGCCCTCCGCCTTCAGCCGAGATGGTGCAGGGTGGGTTGGGGGGGTTGCTTTCTCCAGTGTGCAGTCCCGGTTTCCTGATCAGTCCTTGCTATCTGGTCTCCTGGGGTCTTGGCTTAATGAAGTCAACCCATGTGAAAGCCTTCGCCCTGTTAGAGGGCTTCCCTCTAGGCTGCAAGGGTGCTTGGGAGTCCTGGGTGATCCTGCAGACTTGCGGCCCCTCCCCTGCTCCTTCCCTTGTGGAGCCTTGGCGGCAGCCATCCCAGACTTTAGAGGCGGGAGTGAAGTTCTCTCTTACCCCGTTCCAGCTCCTCTGAGGGGGGCTCCAGCCTCTCCGCCCTCTGTCATGTGGCTGCATGTCTCTCTGACGTTTTTGTGTTATTAGGATATTTTCTGTTGGAGTTTGGTTGCTCCTTTTTGTTGTATGTTGGAGGGGAGGGAGTCCCCATCAAGTTCACTCTGCCATGATGCTGATGTCACTCCTCCTTCACCTCATTCTTTTTAACTGTTGTATTTAATGTTCCTCATTCCATTGCTGATGGTCATTTGTTTGTTTCAAATGTTTTGCTATTACCAGAAAATGCTGCAGTAAACATCCTGGGACATATCTTTATGCACAAAAGGTAATATTCTTATAGGACAGATTTTAGATATGGAATTGAATTGACAGGCATATTCATTTTGATATTGCTAAATTACCACCAAAATGTCTCAACCAACAATGTATGAGAGTCCCCTCTTTTTCATCAACATTAATAGGTTTTCAGTCTTAAAAATTTTACCAATCTGATGGATGAAAAATTATATCTTATTGTAATTTGTACTTTTCTGATTATTTTTTATATGCCTTTTAGCTCTGTGTAATTTTTCTCAAGCCCATCCACTTTTTTCCGTCTCTACCACCATTACCCTTGGCCAGGCCATCCACCTGGTCTCCGAACACCTGTGCTCCTTTCCAAGCCAGTCTCCACACCACAACCAGAGTAACCTCCCCAGAACGCAGATCTGATCATCCCACCCCGACACCCCGTCTCCCTGCTGGGTTAGTATCACTTTAGAGGCTTCGCTTGGTCTTAGGAAGAAGATTGACCCCGATCCCTAACGTGCCCCGTGGAACACTGCACAGTCGAGTCCTGCCTCCCTGCACAGCCTCGTCCCAGACCTCGCTCTCCCTCAGCCTCGTGTCCCAGCCACACTGTCCTTCTCTCAGTTCCTCGGATGTGCCGTGCACGTTCCTGCTAAAAGCAGCAAAACAAGAGACGGAAATAATGGAGAAGGGAGAAGGCATGGAGGGGTCTATCAGGAGGGTCAACGTCTGATTAAGAGCAGTTTTAGAAAAAGAGACACAGAAATGAAACGAAAGGCTGGAAAGTTTTCAGACATAATAGAAGAAAAGCTCCTAGAGCTGAGAGGAAAGAGTCTAGCTGCCTTTCATTTTCTCCACCATTTCTGTTCCCTCTGGGGTGGCTGTTTGTTTTTATATCCTGGTGCTTTTCTTCCATGCTGTCAATTTTCCTCAAATACCTTGTGGTTCACGAGGAAGGACTGAGTTTGTCTAGAGAGCTACCGTGGGTTTCTTGGGCAGTCTTTTGGTCCATTTTTCCCACAGACCAGTTCTGCTGACTTGCATGCTGCCTGTGGGCTCGCTGAAGTAGGTAAGGTCCTCGGGGTCCCTTCACAATGTGTGGAGAGGGAGCGATGGACAGGTTGGAGGACCCCCCCCCCCCCCCCCGACCCCAGCCCCTGCCATAGTAGGGCCTCATAAACATCAGAGGGCGCTTCAGAGGGAATCGCGTCATTGATGGTCACAGGCAGAGGCTCAGTGGTGAGAGGCTGGAGGAACCCCCCCCCACTCCGACCCCAGCCCCTGCCATAGTAGGGCCTCATAAACGTCAGGGGGTGTTTCAGAGGGAATTGCATCATTCATGGCCATGGGCAGAGGCTCAGTGGTGAGAGGCTGTCCAGCAGCCTCCTCTCCAGGCCCTGGGAAGGGTAGGCATGGCGCTTCCATTGGACAGGGTGACAGAGGGAGTGGGAATTACCCAGGTGGGGCTAGCCCACACTTATGGCAAGAAGACGCCCTGAGGACCTGAGGAAAGGCCTTAGGACACAAAGAGTCTGTTCCCCAAGGCAGTGATTCCTGACCTTAGCCAAGAGTCAGGATTAGCTGGGAAGTTTCTTAAAAATAAAGATTCTTGGGCCTCTACTTGGACTTACTGAATCAGAATCTTCTGGAGCGGAGCCTGGTGATCTACATCTTCTTAGAGCTGCCCGCTTGCTCCTGATAACCAGCCAGGATTGGAATCTGCGGCCCCACAGAGTCAGTGGTTCCATCTGCCTGATGTCAACACGGCCTATTGGAGGTGGGACTGGAGCCAGAAACTGAGAAAGACCAGTAGAAACAGGGTTACTTCAAGATTTCCACTGCCGAATCGACTTTCCTGTAGAAAACACATGAGCCCCATGGTGTGCATAGTGCCAGTGCCCAGACTGTGTCCCTCTGGCTCTGGCGTCCCCATCCCCAGTCCTGTCCCTGGCCAGGAGGAAGTGATGCCCTCTGCTGGACTGACCTCGTGTCTTTTACTAGGTCCTCAATGACCAGTCTGAGCTGTCTTGGGCTTCAGCTTCTATGATGGTCTCTAGCTCCCTAAGCCTCCTCATCTTTCATATTTAGGAAACTCAGTGGTTCCTTCTGACTTCCCATTGGCTCCACCTTCTATCAAAACAGAAGAAAACAGAAGAAGGGACTGAATTAGTTAAGGTCCTTTGGGCAGGAAATGACAGAAATCAACTTGGAATGATTTATGCAAAGAGGGCCAGAGATTTATTAATAAGACAGGACCACTCTACATCGGTGCCTAACAATTTGGTATCCTTTTTTTTTTTAAAGATTGGCCCTGAGCTAACATCTGTTGCCAATCTTTTTTTTTTTTCTTCTTCTTCTTCTCCTTCTCCCCACAGCCCCCAGTACATAGTTGTATGTTCTACTTGTAGGTCCCTCTGGTTGTGCTGTGTGGGACGCTGCCTCAGCATGGCCTGATGAGCGGTGCTAGGTCCACGCCCAGGATCCAAAGCAGCAAAACCCTGGGCTGCAGATGCAGAGTGTGCAAACTTAACCACTCGGTCACAGGGCCAGCCCCTGATATCCTTTTAAACATAAGTTTTGAGTGTTCTTTGCATCCTCAAACTTTTTCTGTAGAAAAGCTGATCTGTGCATAGGAAGCTGGCTGAGGAGTGCTCAGTCTCTGCCCTGTTGTCCAGAGCAACTTGACTTTTGGCCCCAAAGATGCACACCCAGTGGGGAAAACGAAAGCCCTGCAGTGAAGAGGACACCCTCCCCATCCCCTATAAATCCTGTACACCTTTGGTGCGACGGTACTAAAGGAAACCCTTTGATGGAGTCTCCCCCTACTGGCCACTCAAAGTATTGTTTCCAACTATGTGTAATTCTAGACAGTTCGGGTGTCACAATATTCTCCATCTTGTTACATTTCCAGCGGTGTTTCAACACTCCTTATAGACGATATGTCTCAAGAGGAGCCTTTTATAGGAATGCAAAAATGTTTCAAGAACCCAGAGGGAGGGTGCAGTCAGACCTCAGGAAGAACTGTAACCAAGAAATCAGAAGGCATCAGGACACTTCTCTCCTCCCAGCTCTGCAACTCTGTGCGTTTCTGCTTCATTCTTCTCTCTTCTTAAATATTACTCTTCTCCTTCTCTGGCGCAAACAGCAGAACATGGGCACTACTGCTCCAGCCTTCAGCTTTAGGCATCTTGTTCAGCAACCCCCAGATTCCTGGGAGGAAGAGGGTTACTGAACCAGCTCAGTGACGGCCTCTGCCTGTCACCTCTGGGTGAGGACACCTTCTCCTGGAGTACAAATGTGTGTTCCGGGAGCCCTGCCCCAGGAACAAGGGCAGACGCTCCAAAGTGGGTCCCATCAGGGGCTCCACCCTTCACAGTACGTATGTTTTCAACCATCAGAGGGCATTAACTTTCTGATCTGTTTTAAAGGGGAAGGAAACCAGAGACAGGCCCCTACTTCAGAGAGGGTCTTGTAGGCTCTGGCTGTGACCCATGGTGTGGCCTAAAGAAGACGAAGGAGCCCTTCTCTGGTGGACGGACCTGCTCATGCACACACTCATGTTCATGCACAAACCCATGCTCGTGCACAAACTCGTGCACAAACTCGTGCTCGTGCACAAACTCATACTCGTGCACAAACTCGTGCTCGTGCACAAACGCATGCTCGTGCACAAACTCACGCTGGTGCCAAAACGCATGCTCGTGCATAAACGCATGCTCGTACACAAACGCATGCTGGTGCACAAACTCATGCTCGTGCACAAACTCATGCTGGTGCACAAACTCGTGCTCGTGCCAGAAGAGGTTTCAAGTGCTCCTACATTCGAAACTTAAAGTTTGTTCACAGATGTGAAGTGATTCACTGTGGGTCCTCCTCCTTGGCTGAGTTGATCTGCTCCAGCTCATGGGGACACCGCATCCTCTAGGGGTGCGCCTGGCCCTGGCTCTGGGAGTCGTGGACTCGCAGGCTCGCTCGCCTCTGTTGCGGCCGCGATTGCCCCACCACGTTGCTAGTCAGCCGTGAACAAGGGCAGTCAGCGTCCTGACGAGTAGGGTCCTAACTGTCACACGTTTAGTGTGTGGAAGCTGGATCCCAGCAGCAAGTGACGCCGCTGCCTTCCTGTTTTGTGCTTCTCCTTTCAGGCCCGCCGTTGGGAGGGGCTGCTCGGCGGGGGCCTGTGACGCGTGCTGGCGCCCGGGCCCCTGGCGGCCCTGCCCCGCGGCCTGCGGCTCCCGGTCCCGGAGGGTCGACTGCATCCGCGCGCGGAGCTGCGCCCCGGTGGCCGCGAGGCGCTGCGCGCAGGGAGAGAAGCCCCGCGTCCCGGCGGCGCTGCTTCGGGCCCCCCTGTGACAGTACGTACCCCTCGCGGGGACCACGGCCGCCCGCAGCCCGTCCCGCCAGCCCCGCGCGCCCGAGGGCCGTTCGGAACGGACGCGCTGGCCGGGCCGCCAGATTAGCCGCCTGGATGCGGGCGCAGCCCAGTGTTCCTTAGAGGAGAGACAGGTGGATTCGAGGGGTGTCCGCGCCCCGGGTTGTGCTTCCACACGGCCTCCCACCTGCCTGGGAGCCTCCTCCGCCGGGCCTGGGGGTCCGAGGGTGGGACTGCGCGGGGGCGAAGGTCCTGAGTTGGGTGTCAGATTTCATCATAAACGCATTTCTCTAGGGAGCAGGCCCCCAGCTTTCCTAAGCTTTCCAGGGGTCCTGACCCTCCCGAAGCTGACACCGCTACCCCAGCACCTGCAGGAGCGGCCTGGCCCGAGGCCGTGGGGTCCCGGGGAAGGCAGAGGCGTCGCCAGCCGAGAAGGGAGTCGGCGCCCTCTGGCTGGGGCGCAAGGCCGTGGCCCTGCTCAGAGCCCGGTTTCCTCGCTTCACCCTGTGACCTCAGGTTACGCTTGTCAGGAAGTCACAGGGTTCTTTCAGCTAGGTCTCTGATGACCTGTGTGATGAGTGGAGATATATGTTATTATTATTTTATTTTCTGCAGGAGACTGCACAGACGCCACACACCGCTGCATGTTTGTGAAGCATCTCAATTTGTGTTCGCTAGGCGTCTACAGACGGAGGTGCTGCCGGTCATGTCAAGAAGGATAAACCTTTGGAGGGGTCCTGATGCTGCTGTGAAGATAAAAGAAAAATGTAAAAGCTCTTTTCCCCATGCTCAGAAACGTGCATTTCTTCCAAACTCTAGATTCTGCGATGGGAGGTGGATGCAACATCACCAGCGTTCAGCTCTTGCAGCATCATTTTCCCGCGGCCGGCTGTTAATTCCGACTCTTTCCATGATGTGCTCAAGGACTAACAAAAATGCCGGGGCGCGTGGGCCCTCACCACGTCCTTGTGATGGGGAAGCACGAGGGGGCCAGTGCCTTGTCAAGTGCTGCTGCTTCCTGTGGCTTGTAGCCTCCTACAGAGAGGGCGTCCTGAAGACCTGGGGACACACAGCAGCTGACTTCCCCCCTCAAGGTTTAGGGTTTCGACAGGCTCACGAGGCATCTACGCTTCAGAAGCTCCAGCCAGTAGTTGTGACGGTGTTGGCACTAACGGCGTTTTCATGGATCCTTGAGTTCCATCTGTGAAAGAGACAGTCACTCTGGACAGGCTTGTGACACTGACTGGTCCAGGGACGTGGCGGGTGGCGCCTGTCCTTGCTCTGAGGGAACCCATGGGAGAAAACGCAGAGTAGATGTTGCTGCCATTTTCACAACTACGGAAATCGATCTGTGACCAAAGGAGGCGCCCTGGAAACCACAGGAGAGGGAAAGTTAACCTTTTCTACTGATTTTGGAGTCTATTCAAAGCTTTCTTTTAAGAGCTGTGAATGAAAAGTTTTTGTAAGCACTATTCTCTTGCACACAAACACAAAATCAAAGCCCTATTAGACCTAATTTATGCATAAAATAGTATTCCTAAGGATTTTTATTTTGGAAAAATTATAAGAAAGTAACTATGAAACCTGATAGCTAAAAAGAATTGTTTATAGTAAATAATTGTTTTGATTTGAACTGATTTTTCAGTAAATCCGAAGTGAATTAGGGTCAGGCTGGAAGTTGCAGTTAGGACTGGGGGTGAGAGTTAGGATTGGGTGACAAGTTCAGGATAGGATTCGGTTAGTGAGAACGGAAGTTCAGTTAGGGTTGAGGCTAGAGTTGGCTATCGGGTTAGGGTTAGGTTTAGGGTTAGGGTTAGGGTCAGGGCCAGGTTAGGTCAGTCGGGCTGGGTGTAGATTGGGGCCAGCGCTGGTGTTACGGTCGGGGCAGAGGTTAAGTCTGGGGTGAATGTTGCTGCTGAAGCAGTCTGGGGCTCGCATTAAATCCTAAGCTCTGAGGCTGACGTGGTCGTGGGCTCTTGCCCTTGCATTCTACCAGTGACAGCTTCAGACGGCACACGACCCCAACAGGTGGTCATACGTCCTCCTCCTGCGTCCCAGCGCTGGGCCGCACGCTGCCTACAGTCTGTTGGCCACAAAGCTCCCTGAAGGAGGTGGTGCTGGACCGCGTCCCCGGTCACCAGCACTGAGCAGCGCGTGCGGCTTTGGATGCATCTGCGGACGAGCGTGCCGAGTCTCAGCCACCCTCCGAGCCCCAGGTCTCCTGTTCTGACTCCAGCCTCGCTGACACTGGGGTGAGCACTACTGTACGCAGAGGGTCTGGTGTCTGGGCGGGCGGGGACATGAACGGCACACACCAGCCCGTGGGTGTGAGTCATCAGTCACACTTGGTTGGTGAGGTTTGTAAATTAAAAGAAAGATCATTTGTAAAATACTCTTTGTATATATTTATTATATAACTTAAAGGTGCAATATTTTATTTTGTACAGTATGTAATAAAGACATGGGACATAAATTTTTCTTATTAACAAAATTTCTTAATAAATTGCTTCACCTTTGTATTTAAAGTTAAAACTTGCTGTTTTTCATTTGCTATTGTACTTTTTCTTGTTATTATTCAAATGACATTCCTGTGTACTGTATTTTACTACTATTTCTGTAACATAAGAGTTAATGTTTCTCTTTCATGATCCTTCAGTAATTCAGAAATAAATTTACTTTGATTATTCAGCGGCATCCTTGTGAATGTGGGTGGCTTCTTTGTCTGATGTTGGTGGCCTTGGGTATTGTCACCTTGGCTGCCTCCTTAGAGTCTCCAGGGTCATTTACTGAAGACAAAAGTCAATCATCTTACAGTAACTTGTGAGACGATGTCAACCTCATGAGGCCGAGCCACACGGGAGGTGAGCAACCGGACACTCAGCTCTCTCAAAAGCGTGCTTTCTTCTCTCTTCCTCTTCCTTTCTGCCTTCCTGCCTTCCTTCCTTCTTTCCTGCTTTCCTTTCTC